CATTTTTCAGTGTGTTTTACCTATGGAAACTCTGTCTTCATCATAATCCTAATTATTCTTTAACAAGCTCCCATTGAAGTAATCTCATGTATTCTTTGAAACTTAAAAGCACCTGTCTAGCTCACTGTGGATGGCCTAATATATATATAACATGAGTTTGAATTATTTTAGTTACATATAACAGAAAACCCAATTCAAACTACTTTAAGAAGTAAAGGAGGTTTATTTGTTCACGTAAATGGAAATATAAGAGATGGGGTGGACTTCAGATAATACGTAATCCAGTGGTAGTCTCAAAACTCAGTTTCTTATCTCCATTATTTTTTTGCCATCGCAAAGTATGGATATTACCAAAAAGATACTGTGTAACTGGAGCAAGCTCTTCCCACTTATCATTATATCTGATTTTTCTTGACTTTGTTTGGAAAATGGACTTACGCTGCCATAGCATGGAGGAGAGAGACTTCAGAATGGCATTCTAGCTAGCTTGCAGTAACTGGAGTCAGAGATTCTGGAACAGCGTTTGGATGTGTTCCACCCCCAAAATAACCCAGTCCCAGTGCTTTCTCCCACGATTTCCTCACTGTGCTAGAATTCTGTGGGTACAAAAAGAAAGGAATTTAAGGTCAGATGGTCATGACCTCCTGGCACCTTTTCTTTCTCACTTAGAGAGATGAGACCCAATCACACACACTCTAGGTTTCAGTGTCTTTATTCTTCTATAAACAGTTTGTTGTATGAATAGAGACTGATAACTCTACATGCTTTCAAATGAGATATAATTTTACATTTTTATCATGCCTGAGATTCTTTCTTAGCCATTCCCTCCTAATAGTTTTCTCCTAGACACATATATATTCATTATCCTAATATTCTCCTTTTTCTTCTTCACCTTGTTTAAAAAAATCTTAAATGTTTTCGATGGAGGAAAAAAAGTTAATGATTGCATAAACATGTTTTTTATAATATTGAACAAACTGAAAAAAAACACCCCAAACTCCTTTCTTTCATTTGAGAAATTAGAGGCCAGTTGGAACCAGCAGATAGAATATAAAAACCTTTGCAAACTGTAACAAATTAAAACTGCATATTGTTATAAATTAGGCAAAGGGAGATGCACACATGACATCTAGTTTTCACTTAAATGAAGCATTAGTAATAAGAGTCATGGCTGGTAAATGTATGGAAATAATCCGTTGCCCCACAATTAGCATTCCCCAAGAGTCACTTAGTCCTTGGGAAAGGCTTCCGTTCATACAGTGCTGATCCTGGAGCCCTCAGTAACGTGTAGCCATGAGGGACTGCCTGCTGTTCACCTCTAGGTGACCGGTTGTTAGAGCAGAACAAATAATGTGTACTTGGGAGGCAACTAGAAATGTTCTCTGTGTCTTGATGGATTAAGTTGGAAGTGCCAGGTTCTATCTTTTAAGCAGATGTTATTTGAACAGACAATTGGGTGCAAAGCATCTTCCTAGGGTCTGGGGATGAAAGTGTGACTTGGTACCTGTTTACATGGAGTTGATGGTCTAACGGGGTAGGGAGACATTGCATAAGTAATTACAAAACTATACAATTACAAAGTAGGATGAATATTGTGAAGCAAAAGTATAGGATACAATGAGAGTGTGTCACAATGGGTTTAACTTAATTTGTCAGAGTCATGAAGTGATGTCCATGGCAGAGCCATTCACTGAGTCACTGAACTGTGATAAATGACCAGGCCTGAGTAGACACACCATGGATCCAGGTGGAATAATGTATGTTTGAGACAAGCACACAGGGATGCTCAATAAACACTCAGATATATGGTGAAGCATGGATTGAAGATGAAAATTTTGAAATCCTTGATCAATAGATAAGCTACAAGTGAAAATGAACTTAGAAAAGAGGGTCTCTCCCTCATGAAATTGCAGCATTTAAAGGTCAGGAAGAGGAGGATAGTTGGTAAAGATTGAAGAGTGAGTGACTGGATGACAGAGGCAAATCTACTTTGAAACTAATGAAGCTTAAGATTCTGGGTCGAATTCTTGCCTGGGAGGAGCCCTAGAGACATGTTTGCAAGGTCATATGTTTTTGTAAAATTTTCAAAAGAAAGATATCTTTATTTTTTTCTTAAAGCAGAGACTCAAACTGTATAAGCTTCAGGTCCCACACATCTTCCTCTAAGTAACAGGAAGGAGCAAAACTGAAAGTGTGATTGTATGAAATTGGTGGGGGGTGTACTTCTGAAGAGAATGTTCAACTAACCATTATGAGTTCTTCTGAGAGGACAAGAAATGTGAATAGAGAAGCATATACATTGGATTTCAGTAGTGGGTGTTCATCACTTTCTCTAGTAAGAGCCCTTCCAGTGCAGTGATTTTGGTAGAAAGCCAGATGCATTTGGTTGATCTCAAGAATTTGAACTGTGAAGGAAGGGAGGAAAGGTGGTAACAGGAGAAAAATAAAATGGGGAGAAAGGTTCTCTCCCTAGCTCAAGAAAACTTGATTTTTTAAGTGCTTTGCTATTCAAAGAGGAGGAAACATTGGAATTCTCCAAATGGGATGCTTTGAGATAACTCTACAGGCAAAAACACAAAAGTTATGTGGAGCAAATGTTTTTAAGAATGGGTACTTGAAAATGCTGATAGAAGTTTTCAGGGTGTGTTGAAAATTCAAGGGAATAAGTTTTTCTAACTTCCTTTTGTCCTAACTTCACTTTCATTTGCAAAGGACCCAGAGGAGATGAATATCCATAGACTCTGAGGCAACCTAGTCAGTGTTTTCATTTCCCCAGTGGGCAAATCTGCACTGCTCAGGCTTGCGAAAGCACAAGGGGCCTTGTGGTGTGTCATGGCCACCGACCAGCAGTGACTGTGGAACGCTGTGGATGGCTCGTCAAAACACAAGAAAAACATACACAGAGACAACTGAGTCCTGTGGAGAAATAGGGACGAAATGGCCACTCTCTCTAGTGGAGAGCACCACGGCCACCCTCCCCAGGGAGGGCACCCCTAAGGGATAGTACCCCGTTCCCGCCCCCCCCCCCACTTGAGCAGGCTTTTTATTGGGTTCGTTTGCATAAGAATTCAGGTAAAGCTCATTACTCATTGCCAGGAAGTAAGGATCAAACAATAGGTAACAAGGAAGTCTGAGGGCCTATTTTGAGTCGGGGTCAGATACCTAAAGAGCTGTAAAAAGCTTTAAGGAACAAACTTACTTCTTCTTTGGACCCTTATCATTCAATTGAGAGCATTCTAAACAAAGCAGGTTTCACAGGATTTTACATATTCTTTCTTAGGCCTGATCACCCAGGGAACCCGCCCTTTCCAGTACTGGGCGGCACCACCCTGTCATTGTTTCAGGCTTAGGTGGAGCAAGGGAACTAAGGCAACCAAGAGATAAGGACATTTTCTTGCAGACAATGAGGGCTCACGCTATGTCAAAGCCAAAGGGCAAGGGTCTATCACCCCCTTTTGCTGTAACCCCCAAAGTCCTTTCTTGGGGGCCTCCCATGTGATCGTGCCTGTCTTAGGTTGTTCCTCCCTTGGGGAATTTTACCTGTCATTGGCTAACCGACCAAGCATTGGGGGCCAGTTACGGATGAAGAAGCAGAAGCAGTGCTCCTGCCAGGGAGATAAGCCTGTGTCCTTGGTGGCTTACAGTTCCAAGGTCATTCCCTCAGCCTCAGCCTTAGCCTTGGTGGGGGTTATAGCTTCTGATACCAGGCAGAGCGGTTCCCAACAGTGGTGGATGGCGTAGTGTCCACCCTGGGCACTAGGTTCACCTCACTGAAACGCCATCATTTACAGGCAAACGATATGTTTTGCAGCTTTCTGACAATATCCAGTGATTGCTGTGGGGGGAGGGAGATATAAGGGGGTCAAATGGCAATGGGAAAAATGTAATTAAAATTTTTAACTTAAAAAGCAGCTCAAATCAGTTTTCCTCCAAAGTCTTGTATATGTTTTAAACTGCATTAGTTTTCAAATATTTGGTTAATATCAGAGAAATACAAGTGTTTTGTAACAGACAAAACAAAAAAAATTATGTCTGACAAAGAAAATAGAATTTTTATTCAGAATATTAAAATAAATTCTTTTAAATGTTTCCAATTGAATTTCCGAGTATTCTTTGATGTATACTCTGATATCAGGTTTATGTATTGAGAAAGGGAGCAATTTTCTTCCACAGGAAAGATTACTGGAATTCAGGAATTGAGGGTATAAGAAAGACAATCTTTTTATGCCTATTTATTGTTTATTGGAACTTATTTCATTGATATTGATTAATAAAATTATATAGGGTTCAGATGCACAGTGCTACAATAATCACCCAAGTCAAGTCTCCTTCCATCAACATTTATTCCCCCTTTAAGGAAAGACAATCCTTAAATGGCACAAAGCAGAAATAAATATTTTTTCCATCACCATGCAATTCTGAACCCTTCCTCCATGTTTGTTTTATCTTTTAATCGGATCATATGTCTAAGAAGGAACAGTGATTTGTTAAAAGTAACTTAGAAAGTAAGATTGTTAGCTCCACTTCTCCCCGCCCCACCTTGCCTTCTCGCTTGTGTTTCTCATCACCATTCCATACCACTTTAGTAAGTTTTCCACGTAGACAGCATCCACAGGGCAGTCCACATGTTAAAAAATGTTTAAGACGCTATAACTTGAAACAGAGGCTGCCAGTTTCCGTGGATCAATCGATTTAGCTACTTAAAATCTAGGACGCCCAATTAAATTCAGATTTCAGATACACAACGAAAAATATTTTTTAGTGTAACTATGTCACAAACATTGCGTGGGACAAACGTGTACAAAATAATGACTCCTTTATTTAACACGCCGCTCTGCATTCCGGCCGGTTGCCTCCCGGAGCCCACGGCCCACGACCCAGGACCAGCGCCCCGGAGCCAGTTTAAAACCCAGGACCGCGGGCAGGGCAGCGCCCCCTGATTGGCCGAGGCGCGCCCGCCCCGCCGGCCGCAGGCGTCACGCAGCTCGGGCAGCCGGGACCCGCTGCCGCCGCTGCCGCCGCTGCCGCCTCCGCAGCCTCTGTCGGCGCAAGTGCGGCGCGGGCGGGGGGAGGGGGCGCGGCGGAGCGCGAGGTTGGGGTCCGGCCGCGGGGGATTAAGTTTCTCGTTTGTGCGTGAGTGTGCCTGCGCGTTCATCCCGAAGCTCCTCGACGGGCCGTTACTTGAGAAGAGAAGAGAGAGAACGAGGGCGAGGCCGGGCACTCCGAGTCCCTGGAAACCCCGGCTCCTCAGCCTCTGCCCCCCTCCGTCCCCGCGCGGGGCCGCTGCCGCGAGCCGGGTAAGCGGCGCCGGGGCTCGGGAGGCCGGAGCGCGCTCCCGCGCTTCACCCGCGCGCCGTCCGGCCAGGGTGCGCGGGTGCCCGGGGCTCCGCGCGCGCGGGCGGTCGGCCGGCGGGTGTGCTGGCCCCACCCCGCGAGGCCCGGGGAGCTGCCACTGCTGCTCCTCTGGCTTTTTAGAGGAGGAGGTCTGGAAGTTTCTTTCGTCTGCCCCTCGCACGGCCAGCGAACGTTACTCCGAGACATTTCATTCTCCCCTCCCCCAGCCCCTTGTTTCTGCTTACTTGCAGTGGCTCGAAAGTTTTCTTTCCTTCGTCTGCCGGGGCATCGTGCCCAGAACGGGGACCGGGGCCTGGCGCGTGGGCCGGTTGCTCGCCAGCTCGGGAGCCTGTTGCTCTCCGCTGGACGCGCCCCAGGCCGGATGCCCTCTCCGCGGTTACGCGGTGCCAGGCTGTGCGGGGTGGGTAGGGGTGGGGAGGATTGTCCCCACACTCGTGTACCCCCTCTTCCCGGGGGGCGCAGTGCCCAGATAGTGCCGCTAATTGGTACCCACCCTCCCCCCCCTACCCCCCCACCCTCCGGCTGCTGCTCTTGGTACCACATTTTGCCTTGGCCTCCCGCTTTCTCCCCCCGCCCCGATGGGCTCTTTTGTCTGTGATTTCGCTGCCCTGGGATGCCGGATGTTCCCGGGGAGTCGCTGTTCGGAAACGCTTTGTGTCTAGAGGAACTGTGTGTGCGTTGGCGGTGGTGCTGGTGTAAATTTTTGCTTGTGTTCTTTGCAGAGGCACGGAAGTCGGGCTCTTCTTTCCTGCAGATCACTTAGAAATTGAAGCTGAGGCTGCGGAGAAGAGGAGGGGCCGAGCGGTGGCGGGAGGTGGCTGCGGCTGCACTGTGGCGAGGGGGAGTTGGGGGTCGCGGGGCATCTCCATCCATCCCTGCGTGTGGGGCTGCTGAAGTCCCTCTGTTTGGGAAGAACCCGGGCAGTGGGCGCTGTGTGCCTTGGGTGGGGAGGTTGCGGGTGGCGACTAGGGTTTCGTGGGTATTATTAGATTGGATGACCATGACTTCCCCAGCCAAAAAGGAAACCCCTCCATTTTCTTTTGATGTTGAGAGGGGAAGAATCTGAAAAGTGGTCTGTCATTCAGCTTTGGTGGACAGCTGTAGTGTAGCCATCCGTTTTGTGTTTCCGCAGACATTCCTCATTTGGGTTACATTTTACAGAATAAATTACATCTGATCGGAAAAACTAACAAGGTGATGGTTCGGGGCTTGGGAGTTTTTACATGTAGAAGCTTGTTATAGATGTCTGTAATGAACTTTTAGAGTTGGTTCGTCTACATTTGTAATGTATGTGTTTAGCGAATGGTAGAATTTAAGTATACAATTGCATTTATTTTTTTCATTTAAGATTTTATTTATTTATTTTATACGTAGAGGAAGGGAGGGAGAAAGAGAGGGAGAGAAACATTAATGTGTGGTTGCCTGTCCACTCCCCTCGTACTGGGGACCTGGCCTGCAACCCAGGCATGTGCCCTGACTGGGAATCGAATCATCTACCCTTTAGTTCATAGGGCAGCGCTCAATCCACTGAGCCACACTAGCCAGGGCTACAGCTGCATTTAAAAATCCAACAAAACTTGAAGTTCTTTTAATGCAGAGCACAGCTCTGGAGGGAGGCTCTGCCTTGCCAGAGGGAAAGGTGAAGACTTAGAGGACAATGGGGATAATCCTGCCTGGGATGCCCAGGCTTGCTGTTAATGGACTAGTTTACAAATGGGAGGATCCATCTAGATTGGGCTCTGTCCCTGCTCAAAATTCACCTTGGGGTCTTTTGAAACAAGAGTCTGTAAATCGAAGGGCCATAGGCCAAATCTGCCTACTGCACTGGTGTTTTGCGCTAAGGTTTAGGAGGCAGGAATGGTTTGTACATTATTAAATTGTTGAAAGAAAAGAGTATTTTACACATGAAAATTATATGAAAATCAAATTTCAGTGTCCATGTTAAAGTTCTGTTGGAGCACAGCCACACTCCTGTTGTCTGTGTCTCATTCTTACACTGTTCTTGGCTGCTTGCTTGCACAGCAAGGGGCAGAGTTGAGTAGTTGAATGGTTGAGACAGAGATGTATAGCTTTTGAAGTCTGAAATGTTTACTATGTTACTCCGTACAGAAAAAGTTGCCAGCCAAAGCCGTACTTTAAACATATTGCTTAAATACTCCCTTTTGTCATGGGTGCATTGTTTCATTTCATAGCCTTTCAGGTCCTGTTTCTGGTGCGCCCCCCACAACTGGCATACTTTTCCTCAAAAAATAGACAAATTAAATGTTTTGGATTTTCTCATTTCCAAATTTCATTCTCGATTTTTTCGTAGATTTTTGGTATCTTTCTCTGTTAGAAACTAGTGATTCTGACTAGTAGAAATATGTCTATTATTTTAAATTTAACGTAGCCATGTTTCAAGGTGTTCCAAGGTGAGTTCAAGGGACTTTGAGCAGCTCTGTCCCCTGAGCCGGTTTGAAGACTGTAGTTTTGCTTATTTAGGTAATGAGAAGGAGGAGTTAGGGCCTCCCATGGGTTCCTTTCCACAAGCATGCTGTCACTTAGACAAAGCTAGTTTGGGGAGTCCCCTTGACTTTTACCCATGCCTCTTCTGTACCTCATTTACTAAAACAAACAAAAAACTGATGGAGTTTATCTCACCATATCACTAATAGACCCAAACCCATGTGCATCATTCCTTGGCTCCCTCAGTATTTCTGTTTTTGTTCTTCCTTCTCCCTTTAACACACTTCCTTTTATGTCCTAAGCCTGACTAGATGGATGTCAGTGTTTATTTTGCTTGAAATTCCTATCATGTAGACATAGCCCTGTTTGGCCCTTAAAAATGTCATTGCAATTAGATACCTTTTAAATGCACATATATTATGAGGGAGTAGAGGCTGTTTCCGTAGTTTATTGTATCTCTGCAAGTTAGAGGTGCTCAGAACAGGTTCATAGAAATCCTTGAAGTGTATGTAATTTTGTATTGATGCAGGCCTTTACCTGCTGGGTGGGAAGACTTTGCTTTACAAATAAAGAAGTAAACCCATTGTCTAGAGTTAAGATGAAGGAATTAGAAGCTTGCCTGTAACAATGAATTTACCTGGAAGATAACTGCCTGAGTTTATTCTTTCATAATTATTCTCAGATTATTCTCTGCAGATTACAACCCAAGTCTGACATCATAGACTTGACTCTTTTGTGATGACTTCTGCAGGTTGGGTCCATTTTGTATATGTAACATGGACAAAGTACTCTGGCTTTCATAAAATATCTTGAGGCAAAGTTGATATATTGGGCCAGAAATGTCCTCATATATGCTGTAGTAACAACTCATCTGCCCGTAAAGATACCATACTTGAAAGTAAAGAAGCAGACAACTTCCTGTAGAATTCAGGACTGCTTGATGGTCCACGTGCATGACAGAATCTTGCATCATCATTATGTTTCCCAAACAGTTGTATCTGCTTTAAAAACACATTTGGCCTAAACTAGGAATTTGTTGGTTATAGTTACATTGTTATATGCAATATTAACTCCATACTTGTAACAAGAACGGTATTGTTTTTGTATTGTAAATTAGTGTCATTCATAGGACAGCATCAATATAAGTACATTTGAGAAGTTACATTTAGTAGGGAAAGCTGATATACTGAGATTAAATAATATGGTGGGGTTCCATATGGGCAAATAAAAAGGAGATAAGCAACTACCTTTAGATGAAGGAGGCTAATGATCAGAAATCCACAGCCTTCCTGTGAAGTGTTTTCTGAGATCTGAGGTAGTTACTCATTTAGTAGATAGAGATAGATGGATTAGGAGGCATGTTGTGTTGGGCTAGACGCTGGGGAGAACATACAATCAACATAGTGTTCTAGAAGCTTACAGTCTGAGTTGCAAAAACAGACACAGAGGAAAGAATAAAAATATTTTACATGTATAAAAGTTACAGTAATTCAAAGAAAATTAGACATTAACATAGGATTGCTTGCTGACAACTTGTAGATAGCATCTTGAATGTGGCTGTCTGTCCCTCTGTCTTCACATGGCCTTCCCTCTGTGCATGTCCATGTCCTAATCTCTCATGAGGACACCAGTCATATAAGGTTGGGGACCACCCCAGTGACCTCTTTTAACCTTAGTTATCTCTTTAAAGACTCTATCCCTAAATACAGTCATATTCTGAGGTACTGGAGGTTAGGACTTCAACATATAAATTTGGGGGTTGGGGACATAAGTTAGCCCAGAAGAGAGTTCTGATGGAGACCATGAGGCGCTTGCAGACTGTAGGCTGCACACTGGTGTGACCTCGAACGGACTGGTTCAGCAACGGACTGGTTCAGCGTAGGGAGGCGGGTTATGTAGGAGGCTATTGAGGTGGTATAACTAAGCATTGTTGTGTAATTTGATGTTCGTGAAAAAGGGAAACTGCTATTTGAGGAAAAGGTATTTTACTTTGGCCTGCAGCCACTTGTTTTCTTTCTCCTGGTGTTTACTGGGAAATGGGCCCTTCCTTTTTGTAGACAGAGCCTTCGTTTTCTTTTTAAATGTTTCTTAAAAGCATTGCTTTTCTTAAAAATATTTTTTATCTCCGGAAAATGAGTAGTATGTTACCTTTGAAAGATGAAATGTTAGTGTTGTAAATATCTCATGATGGTTTTGGAGTTTAATAAAAGCAGCATTTTTTATTCTTTAAATTACATTAATCTAAAGACTGTATGCATATCCTGTGCCTATTTTGTGGGCAAATATTTGGCATAATTTTTTCACGCCAGAAGTCTTTCCTTTTTTGGAAAAATAAAAGCTTTAAAAAACAATACATAGACAATTTCATAAAATAATGAAACCTTTTTTAAATATTGAAATTATAATATTAAAGTAATTCTTCCAAATTTGGCCAGTTCAGTTAAAAAAGAAAAGTAAAAAGAGACTGAAATCCTTGCTGTTTTTCTCTTCACCTGTG